TCTCTTCCTGCAGGGACTACTTCTGCTTCTGGCTTTCCTTTGAATCTGAAGCCATTGACCACCACTGGTGCCGTTGGAGCTGTGACCTCCACAGCTGCCATAACCACAAGCACCACGCCCAGGTGGGCTTTTGTGACCACTGAGCATTCCCTGCCTGGGCCAGGAGCAGCTGCAGTGCTCAGGCTGGGGTCGGCAGGAGGAAGGGGAAATCAGGGAGTGTTGTGGTGTTTCTCTTTCCTGACCTCGTGTCCTGTGCTGCCCCTCAGTGCCCCCCCAGTGATGACTTATGCCCAGCTGGAGAGTTTGATCAACAAGTGGAGCCTGGAGCTGGAGGACCAAGAGAAGCACTTCCTCCATCAAGCCACACAAGTCAACGCCTGGGACCGCATGCTGATAGAGAACGGGGAGAAGGTGAGCTGACCTCCAGTGGAGCCTCACTCTGCCTGCCTGCCTCCTCAGAGCTCTCTGCTACAGGTGCAGCAAGCCATTCAGTGGGACTTGCTGCTTGTGAAATAGATGTGAGCTCCAGCTGGGTGCTTTTCACAGCCTCTCTGTGTGTCACTTCTGGCCCTTAGGCCTTGGAGTTGGAGATCTGTTCTGTGCCTTTGCTCTGTGATACCGAGTTCTCTTAGGGGGGATCATTCCAAGCTGAACCTCCCTTATTCCATCTTGGCTCTGTAAATCTTTATGTGGCCATCCCTTGTTTGCAGTAGAACTTGCATGCTGTGCTCTCTCCCTCACACCTCCCTTCTTTGGAGAGCTGCCTTCTTGGTTTTTAAGGTGCCATGGAATGTCTTCTGTTTGCAGATTACTTCTTTACACAGAGAAGTGGAGAAGGTGAAGGTTGACCAGAAGAGGTAGGAGACCTGGAGCACTTGAAATGATTTTATTTCTTCTCTGCATGGGCCTGCCTGGCTGTGTGACAGCTCTGCAGAGTCTGCAGCGTGAACGGGAAGCATTTGGCTCTCTTTGCAGACTGGATCAGGAACTGGACTTCATTCTGTCCCAGCAGAAGGAGCTGGAGGACTTGCTGTCCCCTCTGGAGGAGTCTGTGAAGGAGCAGAGCGGAACCATCTACCTGCAGCACGCAGATGAGGAACGGGAGAGGACGTGAGGCACAAACCTGTGGGGATGGGGGCCGAGCACTGGCCTGTGCCCACAGCCCTCAGCAGGAGTGGAGCTGGGATGGGTGTCAGGATTAACAACCAGTGCCTGCCGTCAGATATTTAATCCTGGTTTATGCACGGCAACTTTAGATTTTACTCAGAGTCCTCCACTCTCTTGCTGATATGTCTCCATGTGTAGCTCAAGGGAGACAGAGCTTGGGAGTCCCCTCATGTGGGTGCTGGAACCTCCCTGGGTGCAGCTCCCAGTCTCTGCCAGCCTGGGCTGCAGCTGTGGCAGCTGATGCTGATGGCCCACAGCTGGTGTGACTGTGAGCAGGCCCTCCAAGTTGGCTTTGACCATTCTGATCTTGGTTCCTGTGTGCTTTGCAGCTACAAACTGGCTGAAAACATCGATGCTCAGCTGAAGCGCATGGCACAAGATCTGAAGGACATCACAGAGCACCTGAACACATCAAGGGGCCCAGCAGACACGAGTGACCCAGTAAGTTCCAGCTTCTATTTTTATTATTTATATTATCGTGATGCTCCTTATGGCTTTGCTGAGAAGCTTTTTTCTGTAAAAATTTCCTTTCAGTATTGCAGACTGAGTTTATCCACATTCATTTTGAATTTTGACACCTCAAGCCTAAGGTTATGAATATTCTGCTAGTTCCTAGGTCTAGATTAAAATAAGCCAAAGTCACAGGCATGTTATCTAAACTGTTCGGTTTTCTTGCTGCTATGGAATAGCCAAGTAGCAGTGTTGCTGCACACACTTCCCTGGCTTAAGTGGCTGCTCTCTTGCCTTTGACTCCTCCTGGTGTTTATGCCGTCTCACAACTGACTTGCACCTTCTCTCTCTGCTCAGCTTCAGCAGATCTGTAAAATTCTGAATGCACACATGGATTCCCTGCAGTGGATTGACCAGAATTCAGGTGAGATTTGTCCTGCAGCCTTTTGGCAGTGTGAGTGGGAAGCAGGAGCTGTGTGTGAGTGTTCACCCCTGAATTCCTGAGGATGCCTGAGGAATCTTCCTCCTCACCCTTCAGTGGCATTGTCCCTTCCTACATCTGCTTGAATTCTGCTGCTGTGCCTGATGAGAGGCCTCTGCTGGGAAGTTACTCCTGACAACTGCAGTGTTTTACCAAAAATGCCCCACTTGAATGTTTATCTTTGTCCTGCAAGCAAAACTCCACAGGGTTGTGTTCTGGGTGACTGACATTAATTCCTGTTTCTGCCACAGCTGTGCTGCAGAGAAAGGTGGAAGAGGTGACCAAGGTTTGTGAGAGTCGCCGCAAGGAGCAGGAGCGCAGCTTTCGGATCACCTTTGATTGAGACACTCCCATGTTCAAGGAATGATTGTAACACCTCCACATACTGTAGAGGTCTTTGAGGTCTGAAATGGTGACCTGGCTTTGTATCTTCTTGCAATAAAATGTGTTGTTCGTTCCAAAGGTCATGTTGTTTTGGACAGGAGAAACTGCCTGAAGTTTGTGGAGGAAATGTGGTCTCTGTGCTTTAGCTCTGCCTGTAGTCTGCTGAGATACACAAACACTGCTGTGGAGGGCTCAGGGCAGTCTCTGTCTCCAGGGGCACCAGCTGGGCTGGGAGGCCACCAGGACTGAAGTGTGGACAGTCCTGGAGCAGCAGAATGCAGCACACTTGGCTCTAGATGCCTTGAGGACTATAAACATCAATAAGCACAAACTAAGGAAATAACTAAATCCACAATAAGTGCATTTATTTACTTGGCCTCTTCCCTCCCTCCTTACCACAACAGTGTTCAGGCACTGCCCAGCTCTCAAGAAGAGCCCAGTCCCCAGCTCTCCCCACTCTGAGATTGCTGGACCTGCACGTTGCTCCCAACAGTCCTGCATTGTCCCAGGTTCCAGCACAGCTTTCCCACAGCTCGATGAACTCCACAAGGTTGCTGGTTCTCCATCCCTCACGTGGCAGGAGCGTTCTCTGCCGCAGAGGAGCTGGGGCTGGCAGAGTCAGCCTCTGGCAAATGCTTCCTGCTTTTCCCAAAGGCGATGACCAGGGGCTTCCCCTGCAGCTTGTACCCGTTCAGCAGCTGCAGGGCGCTCTGGGCCGACCCCACGTCTGCAACGAGAGGCACAGTGGGCACAGGACACCCAGCACCTGGTCACCCATGGGTGTTCCCATCTGGTGGCCACTCAGCCTGCTCTAGTGCAGCCAGGCTGAAACGTAAATTTTAAGGAATTTAGAGATTTTAGAAGCACTAAGATTTTAGTTAGAGATAGCCTTACTAGAGTTAATTATAATAAATGAGTAGGCCTTGATGAAGTTAAAAGTTAGTAGTTAACTAATAATTGATTGCTTGTCAGCACACTGTTTAGTTAGCTGGGTTTATAATGAAGACTACAGAAACCGACAAACAGCTTTTAGAAACATAAGACAATTGTGGGCCTCCTCTGTTCTGAAACCAATTGAAAACAAAGAATGGGAATGCTACCAAGAGTTCATTTGTCATATTTGCATTGAAAAGGTAGAAAAGTCAGAACAAGGAAGACTTCATTGACTTCCTCATTTTAAAACCCCTCCCCATGAAAGGGACCACCGACCCATTTCAAGGAACAAACTCCACATACTTAATAGCTTTTGAAATGATTAGCACACGAAGCGAAGAATGGGATGTACCAAAATTATAAATATGTATTTGTATTTTGTGTATTCAATACTTGTATGGATAAAAGGACTCTGTAATCACCTGGAAGGCGCAGTGTGTATTTGGGAGCTATCCCGCACATGCCCAGCGTCAAATAAACACACACTTTCTAACTTTAAACTGTTAGAGAGTTTTTGTCTGTCACAGTTAGATATTGGTACTAGATCAATATCCATTTGTTTTTTTTTAATAAATCAAGGCTGCCTGCTGAATGAACATTGCACATGGCAGACCACACCGCTTCTGCTCTGGTAAATCCCCTTCCAACCCAGGGAACGGACCATGGCACAACAGGAAGAGAAGGGAGTGAATTCCCCTGCTTCTCCTTGGAAAGCAGGCTTGGCAACAGCACAGTGCCCTGCAGGAGGATGTGACACCTTTGGAGTCAGGGAAGGACTGAGAAGCACGGGGCAGCAACTCACCAGGGAAGGTGATGAAGGCCTGACCCCTCATGCGGCCGCTCAGGAGGCGGAACTGGATCAGGGGGCTGTCCTCCTCCTGGAAGCGAGCAAACAAGGACACCAGGTCCTTCACCGTCACTCGGGGGCCCAGGTTCTTCAAATACAGCACCTGTAACAGACACAGAGCGTCAGCCAGCCTTTGCCATGCAATGACACCTTTCAGCCTTGTCCTAAATCTGTACAGCTCGAGGTGTGAATTAGCTCAACCCTCATACCCATGTGCTAATGATGGCATTTAGAGGACAGGTGGGTGTACAGAGAATGGCAGCTTCGAGCTCAAGGCATCACCCTGCCTGCCTGCATCAAGCACTGACAGTTTCAAGTTTATTATAAAACAGTTCAGCTTATTCAGTTCATTCCATTTATTTATAAAACACAATAATCTCCAGCTACCAGACAGAACAGTTTGAGTAAGGTGACAGCAGGCCTCAGCCAGGCCCAAACAGACAGAGCACATCTTGACAGGTGACCTGCTAGAGTCAGGGAGGGCTGGGCTGGGCTCACAAGTACAACTCTTTGCCAGGCTGGTGACTTCCCATCAGAGCCCAGGGACCCTTATTCCCCCTAGAGTGGAGGCTGCTCTCCCACTTGGCCTGGAGGATCAGCCCAGCAACTTCAAGGCAACAGCAAAGAAAAGCCTTTGCCTACTGACACAGCTTCAGGGCATCCTGCTGAGCAAGGATAAATCCTGATTCACCTCAGCTTACCTTGCTGGGCTCCCCTGGATGGTAGGATGAGAACCTGGGTATTTTCCGGAGTTCCTCCTCTGAGAGGCGATTCTTGAGGATCTCCTCTTCAGGGACAAACTCGACTGGCTCTTTGATAACCACAGGCCTTGGAGGGGACTGGTGGGGCTCTGTTGCAGAAACACTGGGACTTGCTGCCTGTTCTGCTTGCTCCTCCTGGTCTGGAAGTGGTGACTCCCCACTTATAGCCCCCTGTGGGGTCGAGGACAAGCAGGGGTCACTTGTAGCAGACTGGACTTTTTCAGGGCACTTCTTGCTCAGCAGCTCTTGGTAAACACTCTCCAGATGAACCATGGGGTCCTTTTCATCTGTTCCACTCTTCTGAGTGTCATCTAATTCATAAGAGACATACATGGTAACTACCACAAATAACCTGGAAAACACACAGACTGCAAGGAGACACAGAACAGAGAAACCCTGTTTCACCCGAGGCTCTGAGGTTTTTTAAAACAAGAGCAGCCCCAGCAAGTGCTGGGTCCCCAGCTCAGGATGAACCTGCAGAGAGCAGCAGTTCCACCTGTGCTACATCAGAGCTCTTCTCAGAGATGCCCTCACATTATCTGCAGCCACATTTCAGCACTTTCCAGTGACTCCTTCAACACACCTTCCCCCTCCTGCACATGCAGCAAGGATGGGCCACGCTGCCTTCCTGTACCACTACATGGAATAGGAACATTTGGCTTTCAAGAACATCAGATTAAGCTCCTGAGTTTAAAGAAGGTCCATGACATGGACTGATCAATGATCTCTTTTAATTCTTTTTAATGGAAATGAGGACAAACATGAGAGCAGCATCTCCCAACCTTCAACTGGACCCCTTTGAGGATGAAGCTTTAACAAGTCATTCCTCCTCTTACCTGCTCTGTACCTTTGCTTCCTTCACCCCCTGCAGAGAAGGAACACTCTCCAGCCCCACACAGGCACTTTGTGTAACTCAGGCCTCGAGGCTCTACCAAAGCTTCACCCCAGCTCCTCTCCCACACCCCGAGCTGCCCTGCACTACATGCAACACCTCAAGGAGATCCACACTCTCCAGAAACAGACTTTAAAAGCCTCTATAAACCCTTCAGAGAGGCAAATCTCTGTCTGCTCCCATAAGAGAGGAAAATATCTCCTCCCACACAGCACCAAAGCAGAACCACATCCTCAGGGACAGAGGCAGAAACGTGCTGGGCCCCGCCGCGGGCTGGCTCTGTGTGCTGCAGCCATGGCGGGAAGAGCCCTGGGCAGGACCTTGGTGGTAGAGCGCCCTGAGGAAGGAGTGGCGGTCCGTTCCCTGGAAAAGGGCCCTCTCGATCTCCATCTCGCGCCGGCTCAGCTGCTTGCTGCCCGCAAACCTCTGCGGCAGCGCCAGGATGCGCCGCCGCTCCTCCAGCTTCTCCTGGATGGCATCCAGCCGCTCCTGCGTGGCCTCCGGGGCAGCCCCCAGCCCAGGGCCCTGCAAAACAAGCACGGCTTGGCTCAGCCACGGCAGGGCCAGAGGCAAAGGCACAGCTGTTACAGGACTTCTGAGAGAGAGGCCATGACTTATGTCTGGAGTGGGAACTGGGCCACCCCTCAGACAGGCCCTGATAAGCCTTGGTGGGCCCTAGGAGCCTTTGATGCACTGAGAATTCAGTTGTGGTGCAGTTAGAAATTATGTCAAGGTAACTACAAAGTAATGAGCTATCCAAGTGTGAATTAGAGTAGAGCTGCAGTGTGAAAAGCCTGACCACCTTAAGGCAAAGGTAAACAATGTTAGCGTGCCAATCAGAGTGCCTTTGTAAACTGTAAACTATATAGAAGTGTATAAAAACTGCCATATTCTCTGGAATAAAGGGAGAACATTGCATTGATCATGTTGGTTGGATGTGCATTCTGTCCTGTCCAGCTTTCCCATTTTATGAGGTCCCTGGTCGCACACAGCCCCAGCCCCGCCCTGGCTGCAATTAGGAACCATCCCCAGGCACCAAGAGGTCCTGTTACTGCAAGGGTGGGACAAATGCAACCACCAGCAAGCTCAGTTCTTGAGGACAGTGGAGAAACAGCTCCTTTCTCATGACCTGTCTGTGCTGCTTCCCTCTCCCCAGCCTGTCTCCTCTGTCCCTGCTGCCTCTGATTCCAGCCATTTTCCACAGCCACCTTCAGTGACTGCACAGCCATCCTCTGGCAATTCCTTCCCCACACCTACAGCATCCCTGAGCTCAAGTTTCCACCAAGCTCTTAGTCTGTGACCCTGAAAACCTTGTTTGCTGAACAAACTAGCTGCTGTTTGGCACCCGAGGGGAGGTTTATACTGAGGACTAAACCCCAACCAGCATCACTGAGCCAGCTTCCAGAAACCACAGAGGAGCTGCAGCACAGCCCCCGCAGCTCAGCTGTGAGCAAGGAGCATCCCTGGGTACACAAACCTCCCTGCACCAACACTTCATGCTGCCAAAGCACACAGACACAGCCCAGCTGCTGAAAGGGCACTTCTGCTCCCCCATCCACCTCCATCAGGACACAGAACACACTTTGATGGGGCTGTGGGTGGATTTTCTGTTCTCAAATTGAGTTTGAGAATTCCTGTGGCAGATCCTTCTGCCTCAGGCAAGAAACAAGGCTTTCTCCCTGCACTGAGCACAGCCTAACAGAGTTTCCCATGGTACCTCTGCCCCACATCTGCACAGCTTCTTCCATTCACCATTTCACAGCTTCCCTGAGGCACAAAAGGCTGTTTATACGGAAAAGCAATTCCCGGAAATCATTTGTTGTACTTTGTTTTCAAAAAAGCTGCCACTTAGCAGCTGAAAATAACAGAAATCCGCACTCAGTACTTTGCCAAGAGCTCCCCAGGCAATCTGAAGTTCTCTCTGTTTCAGCTGACATTATTCATCACTCATGATGGAATCTTTCACTCAGGGCCTCCACCTCCAAAGCTGCATAGGCTTTGACTGACATAGGCTTTCTCCCTAAATATTTTTCTCTTATATTCTTCTCTTCTGTTATAAATATGTCTTCTTCTGTAGAAGACATACCCTGATGTCAGCCTTATTTTCTGTCAGAGTAGTGTTTTCCATACAAGTAATTATTCCTGAACATCCCAGAATACATTTCATACTAAATATAACAGCTAGTACTGACGACATTGATTTTCATTCTTAAATTAACACCACTCCTCTCTGCACCAAGCTTTAATCAGGCCACACCACGGTTGGATTGCCATTTAAATACCAAAGCAAGGAATGATTTCAGCTGAAAAGAGGCAAAGCACTGATGACCACAGACAACTCTCCACAGACAACTCTCCTGCACACAGCTATCACTCAGGAACAGGAGACAAAAGGAAGCCAAGGATCAGCCCAACTCCTGTTTTGCATTTTCTAGTTTGGCAGATTAAGAGCAGGACACTCCAATGCACCTGATACAGACAACCACAAAAGCCTCTTGACTCTGGAATGTGAAAAAAAAGGGTGAAAGTGGGGGAAGGGGAGAAACCTGCTGGAAGAGCATCCAAGGAGGCACCAAGGCACTGCCACCACACAGTGGTGGTGGCACAGACCACACAGTGGTCTGACAGCTCTACACTATTTTCATGTGGCTGTCCCAGAGCCCCTGAAGGACATGCAAGCCCCTAAGGAGAACACCCCCTACAAACAGCCATCCCAAATCAGCAATGGGATCCAGGGATTTATCAGGATACTCAAAGGAGGATTTGAGATGCTTTGAAATATTTTCTCCTTCTCTTCTGGCCTTTAAATCCTTCATACACAGGTATAAAGAGGTGAAATGATTTATTTGAGATCAAGGCAAAGGCAGGAATACCCTCACATCCTGCTGTGTTCCAAAGGACCCACTCCTGTCTCCACCATATCTTTTAACATTGACCATTCCACCAAAGAAAAGAGGCCAGAAGAAATGTAGGATAGTGCTGGGCTAAAGGCAAGGGATACAAGGAGAGGCCATTCTTTACCAAAGGCTTACAAAGGACTGGAATTTTCTACCAGAGAGCCACGGGGTTAGAGGAACCTGACCACGCTCAGGTGAGAGCAGAGCATGCCCACCTTCCTTGCCGAGTCCCGGTTCTTCCAGAGCAGGATCTCCGAGTCGGAGAGCCCCAGCTCCCGGAGAGACGAGGTTTCTCTGTCACTCTCCTGCAGGGCCTGGAACTGTGGCAGGGTCAAAGCCCCCGCAGCCTCTTCTCCGAAAGGTTTGTAAAAAGCTGCAGGAGCAAAGCATCTCCGTTTTGACTTGCACCTGTGAGCCAAAGGAACACGCCAGCACAGACAGCTCAGCACTGAGGAACTGGGGACAGCAAGGGGCTGCTCAGACCACACCTGGGCCAAACCACACTTACTGCTCGATGGAGACAGTGGTGTCAAGCTGCTGGTGAAGGAGGCTCTTCAGCTGCCTCTCTCCTTCTGTCTCCAAGTCTTCCAGGAGAAGCTCATCACTGGACAGGCTGCTGTTCACCCTGGGGCACACAACCACAGCACAGGCATGGGCAGTCAGGCAATAGAGGAAACACTGCTCAAAACACATCCTTGCTACAGCTCCTCCACCTCTTGCGCTGGTTTTATGGGATTTTAAAAAAACAAGAAACCAAAACTACTTGACCACAGCTCCCTTTAACATTACTAGAAAAGTCAACAAATTTGGGATTCCTTGGAGAACATAAAAGTACCCCAAGGAGCCTCTGGGTGTTTTTATATTGGTGTGGGGGTTGTTTGTTTACTTTAAAATCACACGCCATAATTTTTATTGACCGAAATCGTCTTGCATCAGCATCTAGCCAGTGTGAAAAACACCCATTATTTGGTTTTTAAAATTTTAAGTGTTTAATAATAATAAAATGGTTATAAAAATAGTAACACAATTAGAGAAATAAAGTTTAGAGTTAGGACCATAACAAAACAATATAAAGCAAAGAATTACGGATGCTCTTGGACACTTAAGTCACAAAAAGCATACTTTGTGAACAAAGGAATAACCTTAAATGCAATAGCCTGTTGCATATTCATATATATCCTACATGATGCATAAATTCCTTGCAAATTAAGAACTTTTCTGGTTTTTGTCAACTTCTTCCCCTTAATCCCGGTGGTTCCATAAAGATGGAGAGAAGGTGGAAGACTGTCTTTTCTGATAAGGAGGCAGTAGCTCTTCATGGGCCCCAAGTCACTGTCACCTCTGTGTGAAGAGCTTTTTGATTACCTCATGTCTTGCTTGAGCTAGTAAAAAAATCCTACATCACAGATTTCTATTTCAACATTATGTTGTAACCTAAAACTATATTTAACAGAGTCCTTAAGAGAATTAATACACCATAACTTTCTAACATTATACATATAACATTAATTTGCGAAAAGCCAATCATAAAACACGCATTTTCCACAGCAGACACTGCCAGCTCCAAATGAGACAGGGAGGAAAGTGAAACCGCGACGCCGAGGAGAAACGGTGAATTCCAGCAGCGCTTTTCCCTTTCCGGGGTCCGTGCTGCGCGGAGCAGCCAGACCCCAGATCCTCCACCGCAGGCGCTCCCGCACCGCCGCAGCGGGGCCGCGCCGCCCCGCTCCTGCCCCGCTCACCGGCGCATGGCCCCGCCGCTCCGCACGCCGGGCCCCGGCAGCGCCCGCCGGGAGCCGCCCCGGGAGGAGCCGAGCCGAGCCGAGCCGAGCCGAGCCGAGCCGAGCCGAGCCGAGCGCTGCCCGCAGCGCTGCCCCGCCCGGCAGAGCCGCACGGTGTGCCCGGCGCCCCGGGGACAGCCGCTCCCCTCCGCGGCCGAACGCACGACACTTAGCGCAGAATTCGCGGCTTGAGACACGGACCGGAAGGGATCTCGCGTCGAGTGTCGTCACGGGCAAAGGGCTTAAGGCGGAGATGGGAACGGAGTTTTTTGATAACTGAAGCACAGCGGGGTAATGGGAAGTAAAATCAGCCCTTAGAAACACCTTCCCCTACCCGTCCCTCGTACCCCAGCAGCGCAGGGAGACGGGAATGGGGCTATGGTCAGTTCATA